ACCCTGTCCTGTAGGGTCACTATGAGTCGGAATCGACTCTGCAGCAACGGGTTTGGTTTCTGGTTTACCTACCACATTAACTTCTGTAAAGGACAGCTCCTGAAAGACTTTGCTTTCTGCCGTTGAGTCAATTCCGACTCAAAGAGACCCTACAGGACAGAGTAGAACCGCCCCCTAAGTTTTCCAGGGAGCGCCTGGTGGATTCAAACTGCTGACCTTTTGGTTAGCAGCCAAATTCTTAACAACTATGCCACCAGGGGGTCTAAAGGAATACATATTTACAGTCTTTGAAACTTTAACATACTTAAGCCAAAAGGGCCAAAGGCGAAAGGACAGCTAAATGCATGTTTTAAGGGGAGATGGCGGTGACTTCTCACTCCCCAGCTCCTGGTTCGAACATTCCAGAGGGGGTAGTATGGTTCTGCTAAATAAATTCCCTGTTCCTTCTGTAATTAACAACGACCATAACAACTTTTATTTCTCCACTTAACCTTTGTGGGTAGCGCCACTCTCTGTTTCATTTCATCATTAATCTTGGTGGAAACCTCAGGGCTGCCACAAAAGCCGTGCATATAAATTCCCCCAGCACGCCTCTGTAAATTAAACAAAGTGTGCTCCAAGCATGCCTCAAATTCAAAGGCTCTGTCTAGGTGATTTATTTCCAAACTGTTCTCTGAACTGTGCCTAACCATTACGCAGCTACTCCTAATAGCACAAAGCTGTGGACAGGGGAAAATGCACTTACAGGTAGGAACCTAGCACAGCGACAGACGCACAGCAGGCACTCTGTAATACGTGTTGAATAGATCTAAATGGAGGGCTTTGTCCCACTCTGCCTTTCTCTTATCTAAAAAAACCAAACCAGTTACCAAGGAGTCGATTCCGACGCGTGGCCACACGATGTGACAGAGTGGAACTTCTCTATTGGGTTTTCCAGGCTGTGACCTTTTGGAAGCAGATTTCCAAGCCTTTCTTCTAAGGCTCAAAACACCTACCTTTCCACCAGCAGTTGAGCACTTAACCGTTCACGCCACCCAGCGATTCCAGAAAAGCCAGACATGGAGGTAGAAATCACTTTCTCAGGGCTGCTGGGAGCCTAATTTCCTGCCTTAGTTCCTGGCCCCCATCCTTTCTTCCTTGAAAAACTGTAAAATCCATTAAGTAAAAACTAATTAAGTTCTGCACAAATGAGCACGTGTGTCCTTTCCCTTACCTGGGTTATGAAGATAAGAACTTGCTTCACTCTTTTAGAGAAAGAGAAACTGGAGAGGGCAGCCATAATCAGAAACACGTAATAAGTAAGTAAAACTCCTCTTACAAACAAAACGTGCCTTTCACCAACTGTAAGGTCACTGTACTTTGTTTTCATTACCAGTTTAATATCCATCTTGCCAACTAGCTGTAAACTCCATGGGAGAAGGAATTAGCAACAGTTTTTTCACCACTGTATCCCCAGAGATTAGACAGAGACAGAGACTGGCACACAGTAGGGGTACAGTAAGATTTGTTGAATGAATGACTAACTGAATGAATAAATACTAATCCTTCTATATTTAGACTGATTCTTCTACTCAGTCTAGGTAAAACAACGAAGTGAGTTTTCAATGAATGGCTTCAGGGAATGGAGGTGAAGTACTTGTCACATTATCATTCCCCCAAAACCCTATGGAAGGTCTGTAGTAGGGTATCCTTGACTGCAGAATTAGTCTAGAATTGTGAAGAGAGCATCATCCTAGACCTTGTAGCCCACTCCTAGTATGATATGTGACCTTGGTCACATCATTTAACCTCTCAGGGTCCCCATATGCAAAACAAGAAAGTTGATTCCTAATGCTCCCCTCAGCTGATTCAGTGAATTTAGGAATACAGAAGAGACCTGGGTGACTACAAATAATATCTAGCCCCACTTCTTACAGGTTTGCCTGAAATTATCATTTATTATTATTTTTAATGAACTAACACAAGGTACCAGAGAACCCTGGGAATGAGATTATTTATACATGACCTCGGGCTAAGGTGGTTAAGAGATCTGCTGCCTACCAAAAGTCAGCAGTTCGAATCCACCAGCCGCTCCTTGGAAATCCTATAGGGCAGTTCTACTCTGTCTTATAGGGTCACTGTGAGTCAGAATCGACTCGACTACTATGGGTTTTTTGGGTTTTTTTGCCGGGGAGTGGGTCAGGCTAAGTGTAATAAACTTCACAAATAGCCACACCTCGTTCGCTAATCATTTTCAATAAAACAAAAGGCCAAACATCAGGATCATGAGGCAGCACAATACAGTTGAGACTATTAAAAGTAACTACTTCCAAACTGGGTGTCATAAAACACATCATGAGCTGTGAACAGATTTACTCAACGAAGTCAAGCCTCATGCCTTTAACCCTGCATGGATAACATCAGGAGTTTCTCAGGGTAGAACATGAAATGAAAAAGAACTGAATGCTCAGGAATGCTGTACATTATTCCCCGAATGACCTGCCACAGGGACTATTTTTAAAGAAGCATTTATCACAGCAGGAGTGACAGCATTTAAGAAGAGGCCAGGCGCCACTGCCAGACAATCTTTCACGGGGAAAGGCTGCCGTGGGTGACGGCCTCCTTTAGAAGGGTCTAAGGGGTGGATGAGACAGGACATGCCCTTGGCTGGTTAGGCGGTTGGTTTCAACAGCCATAAAGATAACTCAGAAGTTAGATCTTGGAAATCAAATGGAGTCAACCCCAAAATGATTGTGGCCACCCCCAGCAATCAAAAAACTAATCCAATTTTGGATTTATAAGATCCATCTTAACCAGAAATGCAAACTCTAACTGCCTTGTAAATTACTTAAGTGGTAGCTGCTCACTGAATTATATTATCCCATTGAAGAATAATGTTATCAGGATGTGGTAATCCTGGGTTTACGTAATTCTCTTTTAGGAAGCTAGCCACTGTACTTTATATGGTACGAATATGGAAAGTATATTACAGTTATATTACACTGGACCTTTGATATAGCATTTGTATTAGATAACTCCCATAAAGCATTGAGAGAAACATTACGACACAATACTATTTTATACATGTATGTGTGTGTGTGTGCGTGCCCTTGTGTGCGTATGTGTATATATATAAAGTGTGTTAACTTACTGGAAGGTGTTACCCTTCTTCCCAATACTTTGGATGGGGGAGATATGAAGCCATATGTACAATGATGCGCGTGTGTGTGTATACATATATATATATATTTAGGGTATCAGATCAAGGGACTACAGTTGATGTATCTTCCTTCACTGTGTAGAAAAAAGGGAGGGTGAATAAAGACAGGAGGAAGAGAGTAAACACTTTAACCAGTAAAACTGATCTCAAATAAAGGATGAAGAGGTATCGTATAACTTACTCTTTCCCTCTGCCTACCGGCTACTCGAGAGAATAACAGAAAGACAGTCTGAAGCTACCATAGGACCTAAGTGTCTCTCCAAAACCAAAAAAAAACACTCAATGCAACCAAGATGATTCTGTTTTACATTTTTGAAGATTTCTGCATTTTGCAGCCACTGAGAGTGTTGCAAACCAACTCAGAGATCTAGATCTTGTGGGCTGATGTTCATCTGGCTTTGGCGAGTTGGCTTCCAGTGGCAGGAGGGCATAGCTTCACTGTCCCGTCCATTGTGAGACATTTTTGAGTGCTAAAAGAAAGTTGTTCCTTTTCTATGCAGTTAAGAAAAGACTTCAATCTATTGTTGACCTTTGCCAGGGCAGTTTGTTCTAGCTGCCTCCCCACCTCCAGCCCCATAATGTTCCAAACTGGATTCCCAGGAAAGAGCTCTCTTGGAGCTCAGAAGAAAAACCTATCTGACATCCCTTATACTCCCTACGTCCCACACCAATGACATCTGATTCAAAAGCCATGGACCTGGGGCACACAGCATAGATTTCCCACAGGACCTGACCAGTTATAAGAAACAGGAATCATGGTTTACTTCTGCAACAAACTGAAACAATTTACACTTTGAAGAACTGTGGCTACACTTCGCCATCCCTCCCTCAGTCCCCCACGTGGTCCACAGTGTTCTGTTCTCTCCAACAAAGAGAATGCCAGAGGCCACGGAACACGTCTCATGCTGTTTCTGGGTGAGCAGCAAAGTCAAATGCCAATACTGAAGAGGGTGAGCTTGAGTTTCACACGTAATCTGCGTGAAAGAAAAGTAACTACTCCACCTACATGAAGAAAAGTGCTTGGATTAAATGACCTGTACACCATGAGTTTGCCAAGTGCATCCTCCTGACAGCAAGTTAAATGGCTATAACAAATGGTGCTTGCATTTCTTTCAGTCAGACCCAATTTCATGGGACATCAAACACCAAGTCCTCCCAAAATATGGCGAAAATGCTGGCAAATATTTGCAGAAACCATGTCTGGAAATTAACCCCAAATACGGTTATGTACAAACTTAGTTCACAGAATACCTATCCTACTAATTTTCTTTTAATAGAGAATAAAGAATAAATATCATTTTTAAATCTGCCACCTAATCATCACGGAAAGCTTAGGGCACTTGTAGGTCTCTACGGATATTGCTCAAATATTTGGTTTTTTATATCAGAGTATCTTTAATACTATTGAGCCAATGTTCAAATGGAGAATATGACTGGTAATATTTTTAAATGCAAAAATATGTGTATCTAACTTCCAGCCAAGTCAATATGTTAGGTCATTGGGCTCTGAGGAGTTTTATGGAGTTTGAGTGTTTCTCACCCTCAAAATTATTTTGAAATGCAAATAAGTCCTCGCACCCCACTGAGGGAAATGCATACTTCTAGCTTAGAGCATTGACTCACTGGACAGTGTTACCTTTCTTCCCAATACCTTGGGCTGGGGAGACCTCAAGCCAAACACGTAGTTCTATGATTCTAAGGGTGACTTGAACACCCCTAAATCAGTCACCTGAGTTACAAATGTATTAACCACAGAAATGAGTCCTAAACTAGAGGTCACAAAATCAACTTCTCTTCCTGTGCTATCCAAGGTCTCCTCTGGACAGTGACAGACAAGAAGTGTCTTTAAGGTATCCTGGACAAGGTTCTTCAGATCTTTCCTTTCTCCTTAGGTCGTTTACATCAGGACTTGTTCTCGAGTCTCTGGCAGTCGAAGGGCAATCAGGCCACCTCCCACCATGGAAGAAGCAGCCAGAAGGATGGGAACAACTTTGGTTATCCCAACAAAAGAAGAGAAGATGGTGTTTCCCAAGATGGCGCCAAATTTGCATAACCCATTGAGGATGCCAAAGGCTGTTGCCCTGTAAAAGAAGAGGAAAGTGAGTAATTCCGAAATACATGAAGTGGGCCTCAGCAGATGAGTGGGGATTGGTTGTTTGTTTTTCCCTTTGTTGGGGGCAATGTATAGTGAGGTTGTGGGAGACAATTTATTCTTAAATATAAAAGTAACAACTTCCCACTTTAATCAAATTTGGAAATATGAATTCATAGAAAGATGTAGGAAAACAACCATGTATAACCTCACCACTGGAAGGCAACAACCACTATTAACATTTTGGAGTATTTCCTTTTTTTTTTTTTCTTTTAAAATGTCTTTCTTTTTAAATTTTTTTACATGAGTTACATGCTTATTGTGTTTCAAAAGACCTCTTTAAAGTGTTGAAAAGCAAAGATGTCATTTTGAGGATTAAGGTGGGCCTGACCCAAGCATAGTATTTTCAGTCACCTCTTATGCACGCAAAAGCTGGACAATGAATACGGAAGACTGGGAAAAATTAACGCCTTTGAGTTATGTTGTTGGTGAAGATCATTGAATATACCATGGACTGCCAGAAGAACAAACAAATCTGTCTTGGAAGAAGTACAGCCAGAATGCTCCTTAAAAGTGAAGATAGTGAGCCTTCATCTCACATACTTTGGACATGTTATCGGGAAGGACCAGTCCCTGGAGAAGGACATCACGCTTGGTAAAGTAGACAGCCAGCAAAAAAGAAGAAGACCTTCAATGAGATGGATTGATACAGTGGCTGTAACAATGGGCTCGAACATAGCAATAATTGTGGGGATGGCACAGGATCGGACAGTGTTTCGTTCTGATGTACATGGGGTTGCTATGAGTCGGAACCGACCTGATGGCACCTGACAACAACATATGTTTATTGTGAAATACTGAATGCAGGAAGAGATATGCAAAGCAGAAAGTGTCCCCCTTTAATAACACCCTCAACCCTCTTGTGGGAGAGACTGCTGTTGTTGTTAGGTGCCGTCAAGTCAGTTCCGACTCACAGCAACCCTATGTACAACAGAATGAAATACTGCCCAGTCCTGCGCCATCTTCACAATCATTATTATGCTTGAGCACGTTGTTGCAGCCACTGTATCAGTCCATCTCATTGAAGGTTTTCCTCTCTTTCGCTGACCCTCTACTCTACCAAGCCTGATGTTCTTCTCCAGGGACTGGTCCTTCCTGATAACATGTCCAAACTATGTGAGATGAAGTCTCGCCATTCTTGCCTCTAAGAAGAATTCTGGCTGTACTTCTTCCAAGACAGATTTATTCATTCTTTGGTAGTCCATGGTATATTCAATAATCTTCACCAACACCATAATTCAAAGACATAATTCTCCAAATGTAACACTACATTTCCCAGACTCCCTTGCTGCTAAGTGTGGCCATGTGACTAAGTTTTGACCAATGGGATGCAAGTGTAAGTGGCAGCTCTCAAGAAACTTTCTTAAGAGATGTTACGAGTGGGCCTTTTGCTCTCTTCTCCTTCATCCCTTTTCCTCCCATTTTGCTTCCTGGAATGCAGAGGTTTCATCTTGGACTATGGTTGAGGCCATTCAAGGGAGAGTAACAAGATAGGAGAGCAACAAGATATAGAGATCCTAGACTGCCTGCTCCAGACTTTTACAGGAGAGAAAAATAAAATAGCTAGCCTTTGGAGGCTGCAGTTATTTGGGGTTTTGTCACCCATGGGATAACCTAATACTAATTATTACTCCTTGATTCCATTTCCCTTTAATAGCTATTATTAACCAGTCATCCTTTCTTGACTTCATCTATATACAGAGATAATATTCCCAAAACTATCTTTCTTCCACTGAAGTAAAATGTTTCTTTTTTCATATCAAAAGTTTATTAAAATGTAGACATTTTTCTGTATGTACAAATCTTTTGACATTTTTTTCTATAACTGTACCTTATTGTAGCTTTGTAATCACTAGCCCCCAACCCCATCTTTTTTTCAGAATTTTTCTGCATATTTTCACGAGTTGTTTTTTTTTTCCTAAATAAACATTAGAATAATTTTTTCAACATCCCAGGGGAAAAAAATTCCATTGAATTTTCAATTCTTGTTGTTGTTAGGTGCTGTCAAGTCTGTTCTGACCCATAGTGACCCTATGAGTACCCTATGAACAACAGAACGAAACATTGCCAGGTCCTGTGCCATCGTCACAATCATTGCTATGTTTGAGCCCAATGTGGCAGCCACTGTGTCAATCCATCTCGTCTAGGGTCTGCCTCTTCTTCACTGACCCTCTGCCTTACCAAGCATGATCTCCTTCTCCAGGGACTGGTCCCTCCTGATAACATGTCCAAAGTACATGAGACAAGGTCTCACCACCCTCGCTTCCAAGGAGAAATCTGACTGTACTTCTTCCAGACAGACTTGTTCATTCTTCTGGCAGTCCACGGTATATTCCATCTTCTTCACCAACACCATAATTCAAAGGCATCAATTCTTCTCGGTCTTCCTTATTCATTGTCCAGCTTTTGCATGCATATCAAGCCCTACCCTGCCCACTTCCAGGCCTATGCCAGCCCCCATGCAGGAGAAACTCAACAGCCAATAGACATCCCAGGTGATGGAGGACCAAGATGACCAAACTGGTGAAGGACTGAGTGAGCAGATAGCCTTTTGCCAAAGAAGTCCAAACAAGTCCTCCAGGGAAGTCCTGGGAAAAACTGACCTCTGGTTGGTAGGATACAGCTCCACCGTAATCACATCCAGAGCATTCCAGGCAGCAATGCTGGTCCCACAAAACAGGCACTGCCAGCCAATCATCGCAGACTCGCTGTTGCCAAAAAACAGGAAGAAGCAGCAGACTGCCGAGATTAGCATAGAGCCACCTATGGAGGAAGATCAAAAGCATAAAGAAACGTGAATTCCATTGAGAAGAGTTTAGGGTCAACTACAAAGTTGAAAGGCACAATCCTCAAGACAGACTTCACTTCTGAAAGCAACTGCAACTTTGAAGACCTCCCAAAACCACTCTCATGTTCAACAGTTTACTAGAAGCTCTCACAGAACTCATTGAAAGCTGTTATACTCATGGTTATAGTTTGTTACAGGGAAAAGATATACGTTAGAATCAGCCGAAGAATCTGAAATGTAGAGCAGAGTCCAGGTGGAGTCCAAACATGGAGACTTCATTGTCTTCTCTCCAAGAAGTCAGAACACAATACTCTCCAAGTATCAATGTGTGACAAAACTCACAGAGTACTGTTAACCATGGAAGCTCATGCAAGCCTCAGTGTTCAGAGGTTTTATTGGGGCTGCATTACACAGGCATGGTTGATTGGCTGACTGATTGCCAGTGTGGTTGATTTCAGTCTTCACGTGAACCAATACTGCATGATTCAAAGCCCTCACTCTAAATCACATGGTTGGTCTTTCTGACACGGCCAACCTTAACCTTAGGAATATAGGGTGTGGCCTGCCCCACCCCAAGATCCAGTATGGTCAGCCCACACCCTAAATAAAGATACTTCCATCAGGTATAACATAGATTATCTCCCAGAAGCCAAGGGCAAAAGCCAGATCTCTCTTTGGACAAGGCCAAATTCTTTCCTACACACCCATGTCTTGAACAAGACTGTTATGCACAGTTCTGGACCCATCCTCCATCCACACAGGTACACGTAAAGTAACATTACCATTTTCCACATGGAGAAACATCAGCTTGAGCCCCAAATGTCACATGCAGACCACGGGATTAGAGCTCTCTACATAGATCAGGTCACCAGAGTTAACCTCCAGGAAGAATTATAAAGTCACCACTGTGTGGTGCTTCCCAGCCCAGAATTATTGGGGATGGGGCAGAGGGAAATATTTTTTGAGAAACTATTATGTGCCAGACTTCGTTCTACATTTCTGTGATATATCAATAGCAGTTAAATACCCCCATTCTCAGGGAGCTTACATTCTAGTGAGGACATGTGTGTAAATGAGCTACAGAGGAAAACCTGAGGAAGGGCTATGCTGGATATTCTCCACTTATTTTCATCCCCACTCCAAATATATGATCTGCCCTTTTCAGCCCTGCTCTATGCCTAGGAAACTAACCCTGGTGGACTGCATACCCAGGATTCCTTGACAGGCAGATCCCCTCCATGGTTTCAGGTCTCATTGGCCTGTTAATATTATTTTATCCCCTCATTCTTGGGGCCCTAAAGGTGGTAACTGCTTCCCACTGTTGCTAATCTCTGGGTGCCTCTCCTGCCTTATTTGTTCCCTGTCCAAACCTCTATAAGAAGTCCCATCAATGAGGTATCTTCACTGGAACTATCTAGGGTGAATTATCTTTCCTGCGAGAAATCTGGCTGACAGAGTGAATGGTAAGAGATCCCATCAAAAAGGGTTGTGTCAAATCCTGCCCAAATCCAATAAGTCTAACCCAGAGGAGCTTGGAAGTCCAGGGCAGAGGTGGATCAAAATGAAACAGATTACAGACAAGGAATCTGGATGTAAATGAAGTGAGAATAAGGCTAGTGGAAAGGCGGTAAGAAAGCAGGTCCCAAACAACCAGGTGGGAAAAAGAGCAAGATTTCCCCACCAGGCATCAGGACCCCGGGCGGAGGAATGTACCCTGGATACTAAAAACCAGAATGTTGGCCTGGCCTCTCCAGGAAATGCCCCCTGGGAAGCCTTAGCCTGGAATCTCAACCTTCAGACCTGAAGCAGTCAAGACTAATCCCAAACCCACTGAAGAGCTGGGAGATGATAGCTGTCCTGGATTTTGCTGATTCTGGGAAGGTGTAGGGTTATAAGCAGATAATCTGGTAACTTCTTCCCAAATAGCTAGGAGGGAGCTGGAATGGGGAGGAGACTGCCACCTGCTGGACCACAAGTAACCTGAGAACTCGACCATCTACATGCAGTGGCCAGCCATGGTGCTTTGCTTATAATACATGTTGATCAAATGTTTGTAGAATATGTAACATTATCATTAAATATATCAACTGTTAGGAAGGCCTTTCATGACCCTTCAACTACATTAGCTCATCTCGCAGTAGGCCTATGGCCCAGTGTACTTCCAGTTTCATAATCCTTATTTCCCTTGTAATAGAGAGGCCAAGTTCAAATCCCAGTTTCACTGCTTACTGCCTTGGTGACCTTGATCAAGTCACTTAATTTCTCTGTGCTACCTCACTTTCTCCATCTGTAAAATGTTGATAAAAATAGTACTACCTTACAGGGTTATTGTGAGGGTTAAATATGTTAATATTTTACAAAAATTAATAAAAACGCTTGGGACAAAGCCTGACCAATAATAAGCATTTTATAAGTGTTTGTTAAATGGACCTTCTAGTTTATGTCTGTCCCTCCCAATAGACCATACGCATCTTAAGCACAGGGATATTGTCTGTCACAATTACTGTTGGATTCCTGCAACCTTCCGCAAAGCCTGGCAGAGAGAAAGCGTTACATAAATAAGTGTTTATTGAATGAATAAATGAGTAACAGCATCATCTGCTTTTAAAAAGAAACTACTTCTACCCAGGAAACAGTGTGGTAGAGTAAGCAAGACAAACGAGGCTTCATCAGATAATGTAGGTGGACCATGGGTAGGACTATTTCAAAGCAGGTCACCCACGTCCCACCACGACAAGGTGGAACAGAGATTTATTGAACATCTACTATTTACTGAGAATGTCGCAGTTCATCCATGGAGTGCCAGACTGTTTACTAAAGATGATGGGCAGGTACAGAGACAAAGAAGGCATTGAGTGCTTAAGGAGCTTGCAATCTAGCTCAGAGGCAAAATGCAGACATTAATAAAAGACAAGACTATAAAAAATGATTAAATATTAGTTCTAGGTATCTGATTTGGGGTGGAAGCATGCCTTTTTGTAATATTAAAGAAATCCATTTTGACCTGGGATGCAGTCATGATGACGAGAACGGCTTCAATGGTGAGGAGAAGGATGTCTGTTCTCTCCCTGCCCTGCCTGCCACCTGTGCCAGCCTGCCTTCTTCCCAGGTAGGAGTGTACGGCCAATTCAGGTGATGGGTCATTTTCATTTACCTGGTGACCCTGTAGACCTTGCCTTCCCCAAGAACTTACCAGGATACCCCAGGACATGACATAGACCTCACTGTTAGACCCTGGGCCTCAAAGGCTGGTGACAAAATGGAAGAAGTGTCATAAGTTTACTCTCACACCCCTCATCTCACTTGAGCAAACAGAGTTGTAATTTTAACAATTATGAAACAGAAGCTCAGAAAAGCAAAAGAACTCAGATCAGCTCATAAAGCTAATTTTGGTGGAGATGGCCACCTGACCCGCAGCCCCAGGATTTTTACACCATACCGAGACTTTGACTTGCTTACTTTGGACACGTCATCACGAAAGACCAATTACTGGAAAAGGACATCATGGTTTGTAAAGTCGAGAGTCAGTGAAAACAAGGGAAACCCTCAAAGGACTGACACAACAGCATAATGGACTCAACATACCAACAATCATGAAAATGGTGCCGGACCAGGCAGCGTTCTGCTCTGTTATACATAAGGTCGCCGTGAGTCAAAGCTGACTCGACAACAACTAACAACAAAACCATCCTGTAGTGCCTTCTGCTGAAAAGCTTGGTGCCTTGGGCTAAACCTAGGAAAGTGGCTGTTTTGATTGGTTCTAGTCAGTTTAGCCGCATTACTAACTGGGGCTCTCGGGCAGGCACCAAGATATTAGTGAGCCCTCATCCCATCCCTCATGGGGCTTCTGCCTCTAGCAGAGGAGGTGGTCCTACATAAGACAAGGCTCCATCCTCCCCACAAGATTAAAAAGCCAAAATCACAGACATCTTTTGTGCTCACTGTTCTGAATATTAATTTTACTATTTATAATAATAAAATTCAGTATGAGCCAAACACTAGAAAAAGATTTCCTTCCCACGAAAACTTGATCAATTTTCCCCTCTCTAACAATGTGACTATGTGACTTATTTTGTTTCCCTTTGAGCTATGCCACTAGGAAGCTTGGTGTTAATTTTACTGATTAACTACATCCCAAGGGCAAATACTTAATGGCACGGTTATTCATGTGTTGCCCACCCCACCCTCACCCCTGACCTGGACGCATATTGTAGTATGCATTTTCCCTGGCCCTAATGTGCTTTGTTATCAACTGCTGCAGATACTCCATGGAATGAGGCAAGGCATAAGTGAATACAGCTACCGTTTTTTAAATCCATGTTGTTAGCTGCCTCTGAGTCTGCCCCCAACTCGTGGCAACCTCATGCACAACAGAACAAAATGCTGCCCAGTCCTGCACCAGCCCCATGATTGGTTGCAGATAGGACTGTTGTGATCCATAGGGTTTCCACTGGCTGATTTTCCAAAGCAGATCATCAGGTCTTGCTTCCTAGTCCAACAGAGTCTAGAAGCTCCACTGAAATCTATTAAGCATCATAGCAACACACAAGCCTCCACTGACAGATGAGCAATGACTGCACACTAGGTGTATTGGTTAGGAATCGAATCCAGTCTCCTACACGAGAGGAGAGAATTCTACCTGGGCCTCCACTGCTTCATTTTGAGACTCCACAATGCACCAAGCACTTCAAGGTATTTTGTGTACATCACGCTCCCTTCTCATAGAATCCTACCATCTAGTTATAGGTATCTTCAACTTATAGATAAGGAAGTTGAGAGACCCAGAGAAATAAAGTAACACGTTCAAAGACAACTCCAAAGCCAAACTCTTTTTGCTACAATTGTGTTATTACTATTAAATAATAATAGGCAATAAACTTTCTTTAAAACCTTCACACTATCATTTAAGAGCACTTTATATGTTTTTCTGACATTAATCTTATGAAGCAGGTAGGGTGAATGTTTCTAATATCTTATCTTCCAGATAAGACACCGAAGTGCTTCCAGAATAAATGCCTGTTCCAGAGTTGCTTAGTCATGAAATTAAAGAGTCCCTCCCCTGGACCAGAAGTCTCTATTTCCACGGAGCCCTCCTTGGTGCTACTGATGGAAGCCAAGAGGATGGAGCTCCGTGACTCCCATCTTTAATAGGAACAGAACCAGTTCTGGTTTCCCATGCAAGATTTCTTTAAGGGGAAAAAAAAAAAAACCCAACTTCTTTAATTTCTTTAATACCTCTTGAAAGCCACTGCTCTGGACCATTGGAGCATAGATGGGTTAATGACTCACCAATCATCTTCAGCCTTCCTATTCTATCCATGAGCAGGGCTGAAATGATGTTCCCAGGCAAGACAGACAGGCTGCCGAGGAAGCTGACGAGGTAAATCAGGAAGTCATTGTCTTGCTCAAAGTCCATGTGGCAGCCCTCCTTCTGCTCCAGAAAGGTGGAGTTGATAAACCGACAGTTGATAAACTTATGTTCATAGAGGTCTGAGGAGAAAAGGAATCTTTGGTTCATGAAACGTGGAGGGTGGCTAGGGAGAGGAGGGTCAGGGATGAAATTAGGCTTTTGGACCTTAGACAATCTCAAAATAAAGGTAAGTTGCGGCCAGCTATGGATGAATAGAGAAACTTCTAAAACTATTAACAACCTATTCAAGTTTCTATAAGTATTGGGAAAGGAAACTAACATTAATTGAGAGGCACTTTTAAATACATCATCTCTCAAACCTGGGTAAGATCCCTGACTGTACCAATGAGGTGACCCTGAGGGCCACAGCAACTTGTCCTCTCTCCGTGGCTACTCAGCTTACATACAGCAGAAGATGAGCGAGGCAGGTCCAGATCTAGCCAACCACTCCAGAGCCCATGCAGA